GTTTTGCTCTTCTTTCAGTCAAGAAACACTCTGTAATTCCGATAAAACTTGCTCGATAGCCATGCTAACGCTATATGCTAATGAAGGTTCGGCTTCAGCCGATGAAACTAGCGTTAGCTGAAGCCGCCATGTTCTTTAGGCTGAACTGTCGCGCTTCTCGTTGCGTCACACCTCAACCCGGCTCAAAGCCAATGCTGATTGGACGTTCATTTGGTGAACGGCTCCAAATTTTCTTTAACGGAAAGTAGCCAGACTGATCTGCGAGGGAAACCTTGAAAGCTCGCGAGATCAGGATGGTCTGACGAGGCTAAATTTGCATTTGGCTGAATGAAATACTGTCTGGACCAATTTTCTATGGGCAAATTAGATAATTGTTGGTTTGTTTGGCAATAATACTCAATGCTACCGTATGTTAAATCTATAGTGGAAGATGTTTTTTTTAGCAGGTGGATCATCAGAATAAGTAGTCCTCCTAATTAATCTAGTTAATTATTCTGGTGATATGTTTATGTAAGGCCGTCCTATGTGCTCGTCCCCATTTTCACTTACCGGTGTTGAGTGTGACATAGTGGAAAAAATGCAAACCTTGTTTTGGAAAGTAAGCTTGTATGAGCGATGTGAACAGCGACTTTTAAACAGAGCGTGCACCAAGATAAATGGACTTGTGCATGCTCTCGCTCATAGTTAATAGGCCTTCCCTCTCAAGAGCGGGTACAGGGTTGCGCATGTGTATTGCAAAAATTAGCAAAAATCCTCCACTATACCTTTAAGAGGGAGCAAAAAGCAATATCAACATAAACATCTCACACCAACAATGAAACATGATGGTTTTGTTATGATGATCTGTGCTTGTTTTGCAGCCACAGGAACATAATTTCTTATGGGTCTCAAAAGCCAAATGAAGCAGTTTCTGTCTGACAATACTGTAGAAGCTCAATCTAAACAGGACAGAAAAGCTAGAACAGAGCAACAAATCTGACAGCATGCAAACAAAGGAAAAGAATCAGGGTTTTACAAGAAAATAATCAGATTGAAACCCCAGTAAGAACTGAAATAAAGTTGTGTTGACTGAAATTCTTCCTTCATGATGTGAGTGACTGCTACCGTCACGCAGGAAACAACTATTTCAAGTTATTGTTGCCAAAGGTCCTGAATCATGGGGTGGAGCTTAATATGCACATCTTTTTCCACTGTACCTTTCTCTCAGTTGTATAAATCATGACAGTGTGGGGAACTAAAATAAAAAGCGCAAAACCTTTCATCTATAAACAGATTCAAACCACTTTCACACTGAGCTGCACAAACTGCTTCTATGTACAAAGTCAAAACAAGACCGTAATCAATATTAGAAACTGGATTTTATTCATTCAACATCTACATTTCTATGCTACCCTTTATTTTTGATAGACTGTCATCATAAACATCTATGTTTTTATATTGAACTTCCGGGCAACTATGTTCTCAGATATACAGAGTAAGCAGATATTTTTTAGGGATTACTGGAAAGCATAGCCGTCACCATAGTATCTGTGTCCTGTTGTATAATTACATTGTTGGTGAGATTTCATTTGTTCACATGTTATGTATGAATGTAAAACAACAGGAAGGCTTTTCACAGCACTATGAACTGCAAGCATAGGCAGAATTTTTAAATATTCCTAAGAAGCAGCTAAGTGTGTTCATTTATTCAGACATTAAAGCTAGAATACTTTGGTATTGGCAAGATCCGGCTTAGAAAAATGCATTTCCTTTTCATTTCCTAATGGATTACATTCCCAAATCACCCAGGCAGGCCAAACACAAGGAGATTAGCAGAGTGTGAGTAATTTTAAATCAGACTGTATGAAAATGTACGACGTGTCCACTTGTTTCTTGCTCAGAGCTCTTAGAAAAAGTTTCTTGGATTTGTTCAGTTGCAGTGCATGAACATCTCTATGTGTTGTGTTGTTTGCTTGTGTGTTTAGAGCCAACCCTTCCTCCTGACCAGTACAAAGTGAAGGTCCAGAGCACAGAGGCGGCTAAGAGGTGCAAGCTGTCCGGGGAGTATATTGTGTTCACTGACAGTGAGGCTTTGGAGCTCCTCTCTGTGAACACAAGTGAAGTCATCTACAGCTGGCCTTACAAGCTCCTTCGGAAGTTTGGACAAGTGGAGGTAAAGCATAATGTACAACGTTTTTAAAAAATTAATCTTAATGCTCAAAAAAAAGTTTCAATCCTAAATTATATAACAAATTATGCATTTGTTCCTCTATTTCATTGGAGTCTTTGTGAACATACAGTGTCTTGCAAAAGTATTCATACCTCAATTCAGTTTTCAATTCAGTTTATTTCTATAGCACC